GTTTAGGGCTTAACGTTTAGGGTTTTGGTCTATTACTCGCGTGTGTCCACCTGGTGCCTTGGTGGTTGGGAAAGCAAACGGTGACTACCCCATTGTTTTGGACTAGGCTCGGGAATCGTGGAAGGGGGTCTAAGGACTTGTTATTTAGGCTGTTCCGCGGGACAAACCCCAAACCCTAAACCCCAAATCCCTAAACCCTAAACCCAAAGCCCTATAAACCCTAAACCCAAAATCCCAAACCCTAAACCCCTAAACCCTATATACCCCTATATATCCCTATATATCCCCCTTTAAAGGGAACCTAATTATTGGGTACATAACCCTACAGACCCCAAACCCCCCCAAAAAAAGGAGCCCGCGCGAGTGGAGCCACCGGAGCTCCCCCGTCACTTCCGGCCCGGGGCGTCCTATGGCCTACGCCATGCGGTGAGCCCGGCAGAAGTCGGGAAGTTGGGAGGTTGGGTTGAGGGGTTTGGGGTTTAGGGTTTAAGATTTAGGGTTTAGGGGGTTAGGGTTTAGGGTTTAAGATTTAGGGTTTAGGGTTTAGGGGGTTAGGGTTTAGGGTTTAAGATTTAGGGTTTAGGGTTTGGAGCTTGGGGTTGAAGATTCAGAATGTAGGGTTTCAGGGTTTCAGGGTTTCAAGGGTTTGTTTAGAGTTTTAGGGTGTAGGGACTTGGGAATTTGCAGCCGCAAGTCCAACTGGTTCTGAGGCGGGGTTTAGCGATTAGAGTCTAGGGTTAGTGCCTAAGCGCACGGAAGCTACGACTGCGTTCTAAGTAAATACTTTGGATCCTTCGGCTTGGTAGCTGAGTGGGAATTATCTTAACCTCAATGTCGGGGCCGTAAACTGAAGAGTTTCCTGCCCCCGCCCCAAATTGATCGATATTTTTAGGGGAAGGTTTGTGTGGGTTAGTTTCTTCGAGGATTTCAGAGGGTTTGGGGTGGTTGCATTCGTCTAGGGTCTAGAGTTTAGGGCGGGCTTCTGGGATCGTGGTAGTCAAGTGTTTTCCGGGCTGGGAATGTGGGGCTTGGCAAACATCCACATGAGTAGTATTTTATTTGGGGATACTATGGTACCCAATATAGAGTAAGATTATATCCTCCTTTTGGGGTATAGTATCTTGAATATGGAATATAATCTTCTTACTGGGTTTAACCACCACTTCAACGCTACACACATTGAGCCTTGGATCTTCTGATCTTCTGACCCCTTCGCCCTCAAGCCGGCCCCCCCTGGACAATGCTGCCGCTGAACGTAGACGTTGGAACCAGGACATATCTTTTGCCAGCCATGTGAGCTACAGTCTGAACTCCTTCAAGGGGGGTTATATAGTGGGTTATATAGATAATGATTATTCAGGGGCATACTGGGAGTTTAGACTTTTTGTAATTTCGAAAACGTGGAAGTTTAAACCAGAAGAAGCTTCTGTGTATCGTCGGTTGCATTTGGTAAGGACATGATTTCCAAGACCAACGTGCAGAATTATAGGAGACATAAGTTACGTCAATCCCCCTTATAGTAGTAGCTCCTGAATTAATATGGAGTTAGTAGGGCCTTAATATACCTACAAAAGCCCCTTGTGGTACCCATCAATCACTGGCTGGGGGATTGACCCAAGACCTAAGGCGATTTGAACACTTCTTGGTTCCACCATTTACGTCCTTTGATCCGCAAGAACCAGGAGCTAAAGCACAGCCTATGCGAAGTCAATCTACCGGTTGCGTTGTTAGGGATGCTACAAACGTTCCGACGAGGCTTGGGGCTTCGGGTTTAGAATGCGCTCCGGCTCTGCAGGGGTTGAGGTTGCGCCGCCCAAAGGCTGCGTATGCAGCCTTCTCGGGTTCCGGTGTTAGATGACAACTTCGCAAGGGCCCATCGGGGTGCAACAAGTAATAGATGAGAATTTTACACGGCGCTAATCCCTGGATCCTAAACCCTCAACCTTAAACCCCTCGGAGTCCTTTGCCAGGTCCACTCCCCACGCGAAGACACCTGGACTCAGAACGAGAGCAAGGCGGTACCCCGACCCGGCAGCCCGGAGGACCTGTTTATAGGGTCTACCAATGCGCTCTCCACCAGCAGTTCTGAACCCCATTTCATTACTTTGAGTGGAACCCGAAAGGGTTTTGACATGCTTACTTGGTAGTAAATACCAAAGTAGCCTTCCCTGCAGCGGATACACAGACGAATACCCGTATCATATGTCTGCATGCACGTCTGTCTTGAACTTCATATCCTGTCTGCATGCGCTGAATCTGAAACGAAAACTGACATGTCGTATACCACATAGCCTGTATCACACGGTCTTTACTCACCTAGGTACATATCTATTCTGAAGCCCTAAATCCTAAATTCCCAAACCCTGAACTTCTAAGTCAATGTATGCATGAAACTCTCAGGTCTGAAGCCCAGCACTGAAAACTACAGCAGCTAGCAGACACTAAGCCCTAACCGCTAAGCCCCGAACCCTAGTCTCTAAACCTTGA